CAGCCCGAAGTCGGGACCGGGAGCTCCAGTCCAGCTCTGCATCCGGGGCGGAGGGAGCCCCTGCAGGATCACCCGCTGCCTCTCAGCATGCACATTATCAGGAAGCTGCCATGGAGGGGAGACTGGGCCCAGGCACGCTGATGTGGGACGCGGGCATCCCAAGTGGAGGCCATGACACCTGCCCCTGGACACGGCTTTTATAGATCATTTTAATTGAGTATCACACAGTTGAATGTGGTGAAAGTGAGACGGTGATGCCATAGGAGATGGAGGAGTGATCCTTGTGAAACTGACCGTCCTCACCTATGTTTAACTGCATCTTGGGATGTAAAATAATCTTAGACCAGTTCAAACGTCTAGCGAAGGAGCTGTCCTGAGAACACACTGATTTTCTGAGGGCCCGTTTTACTGGGAAGTGAACTAGATCTTGAAGAAGTCGTGACTTCTTCACTGGCATAGTCCATGGCCCCAAGACTGCTCTCCTAGAGGATGGGGCTGGGGAAGTTCACAAGCAGGAAACAAACTGGAGAGCTTAGAGTTTCATCAAAATACCTCAGTTTAGGATTTTTGAAATATGATGTTCTTATATCACCTAGATAAATGCAGTGGGTAAAATGATTTATTTCAGAAATCGTACACGTTTTAGTTAGATATGTATTAAAATATATTTGGGGGCCGGCGCCGCTGCTCAATAGGCTAATCCTCCACCTAGCGGCGCCGGCACACTGGGTTCTAGTCCTGGTCGGGGCGCCGGATTCTGTCCCGGTTGCCCCTCTTCCAGGCCAGCTCTCTGCTGTGGCCCGGGAGTGCAGTGGAGGATGGCCCAAGTGCTTGGGCCCTGCACCCCATGGGAGACCAGGAGAGGCACCTGGCTCCTGGCTTCGGATCAGAGTGGTGCGCCGGCCGCGGCGGCCATTGGAGGGTGAACCAACGGCAAAAGGAAGACCTTTCTCTCTGTCTCTCTCTCTCACTATCCACTCTGCCTGTCAAAAAAAAATATATATTTGGGACGATTGTACTTACTACTGTTAAAGAATGAGAATCTATGTGTAATTTCCTTCTGGCGTGTCTTGGCATAGGTATTTATGATTGCTCTACCCCAGGAAGGAGCAATTCCATGAAAAGTATTCGTAGTTTCTCTAGCAACATATTTGGTATTAAAACGCTAGGAATTTTTAAAGTTTGCTTATGGAATGTTAAATTTCTGTGCAAATGTATGGTCTCACAAAGTATCCTTTTGAAATTACTATTAATATTTCATATATTTTGTAACAAATGACTTTCTTTGGTCAGCTAATCGAATATGTGAAGAAAATTATTTTTGTTTGTTTTGCATCAATTCAAAAGTTCTTTTATTGGGGTGTCCTCATATGAACTGTTTAAGAATGATGCATGAGGAAATCAGTATTTTTTCTTTCATCTTGTTCGTTAGAGAAAGGGAATTTCAGACACTGGCCAAAGTCTGAACACAGGGCTTTATTCATCTTTCCTATTAAAGATCTTGTGTTACCACTGCTCAAGTCATTACATTGTTTCCTTAATGTAAAGTGCTTTTTGTGATCAACATGGACATAAGCTTAATATGGTGATAAAAAGATTCTAAATGGATAAAAAAATGACAAGATTGTAAATACAGAAACCTGAATATAACCCTACCATACAACCCAACTATCCCACTCCTTGGAATTTACCCAAAGGAAATTAAATTGGCAAACAAAAAAGTTGTCTGCACCTTAATGTTTATTAACGTTATAACTAGTACTCAAACAGTGTTTCACACTTTGTGTTTCTGTGTGGGTGCAAACTGTTGAAAGCTTTACTTAATATATACTAAATTGATCTTCTGTATATAAAGAGAATTGAAAATGAATCTTGATGTGAATGGAAGGGGAGAGGGAGCGGGAAAGGGGAGGGTTGCGGGTGGGAGGGAAGTTATCGGGGGGAAAAGCCACTGTAATCCATAAACTATACTTTGGAAATTTATATTTATTAAATAAAAGTTAAAAAAAGAAAAAAATAGCTAATACCAGGGTCGATAGGAAGGCCAAGGAGAATAGGAGCAATAGATGGCGGCCAGCAAAGTCTGACAGGTGAACCATTATTAGTATCTAAGTTCAAGTGGATTTTATTGAAAAGTATGCAGAGATCTACGATTAAACTAATTTAGGGGCAATTTAAAACACTGAATGAAGGAAACAAATACTGGAGCACTAATAGAATTGTCACCTTTTTTTTTTTTTTTTTGAAATTCAAGGTTGAAACCATCCACTTCCCTGAAGTGTAAAAGCTGTTTAATTTTAGACACAGACTTTGAAAAACTGGAAGCCTCTCTGGAATTAGTTAGCAACAAAACAAACAAAACGGTAAGAACTCGGCTACACAAATGACGTGGATTTTTTTTTAAAAAATGTGTTTACTGGAGGTCTACTGCTTCGGTGAGGTTTCCAGAGAAAGGATGGAAGTCGTGACTTCAGCATTCCCAGACTGTGATGCTGTGAGCGCATCAATGAGCACCTTTGCTTAGGTATAGATACACATTGCATCTACAAATATAATGTTTTGGTTAAAAAATACAGTCTTTTGTCATATGAGAAAGAAACTTGACAGTTTAATATAATGGTTTGAGGTGGAGCTAGCCTCATGGGGAAGCTAAGCCTCACGGTGAAGCTAAGCCTCACTTTTAACTTTTTCTTTCTTTTTTAATTAAACAAACAGTAATCTTTGCCTGTCCACTCTGGGCTGACGCTGTGCTGTTCAGCCACCAATCACTCCAGCCCGGGCATTCCTTGAACAAATACAGACGCTGTCTTTTAATGCTGCCCTTGCTGGAGGCACAGGGCTCCTTAGCCAGGCGGTGTTGGAAACTGGTCAAGTAGCCGTGGAAGCAAGGTTGACCAGATGGAGAGTCTGGGGTAGCGGATGGTCTGGCGGTGGCTGTGGGGACATGGCCCAGTGCTGTGGCTCTGGCTAAGGGAGGATAAAGGCGGTCAGTGGAGGAGGGAAGAGAAGGGGAGCTGGGGGACAGGAGGTGGGGGACGCCACCCCACCCCTTGCAGGAGGATGAGAGCTGCAGAGGCAGTAGGTCAAGTCCAGACTAAGCCGACATGCAGAGGGACACTTGGTTCCTTTGGCAGCCCTGTGCCCCAGGCGTTTGGAACCCTTGCTCTGTGCCCGCCGCCTGCCCCTGCCCCATGCATTCCCACCCCTCTCCTCTCTCCCTACTTCCTCTCTGCAGCCTGCCCTTCTTGGTCTTCATCTGGACAAATCCTCCTGGCCCTTCAACGCGCAGTGCGCCGTCGCTTCTTCTCTGAAGCACTCCATGATTTCTCTCCCTAACGGCCCCCTCCTCTTCGGTTCCATAGCCATTTTGCTGTGAGCTCCAATTTGGCACCAGACACGCTGTAGCCAGGCTTTTCAGCAATGACTTAGCTCCTTCTCTGTGCCAGGCAGTGGGGCCGGGATGAAGCAGACACAGAGCTGCACTGAAGGAGCTCAGTCTAGAGAGGGAGGCCGGGGTGTAAACCAACCACTCACAGCACTGTGACAACCGAGCCATAAGAAGCATACACAGGCCGGTGCCGCGGCTCACTAGGCTAATCCTCCACCTGCGGCGCCGGCACACCGGGTTCTAGTCCCGGTCAGGGTGCTGGATTCTGTCCCGGTTGCCCCTCTTCCTGTCCAGCTCTCTGCTGTGGCCGGGAGTGCAGTGGAGGATGGCCCAAGTGCTTGGGCCCTGCACCCCATGGGAGACCAGGAGGAAGCACCTGGCTCCTGGCTTCGGATCATTGTGGTGCGCTGGCTGCAGCAGCCCTTGAAGGGTGAACCAACGAAAGGAAGACCTTTCTCTCTGTCTCTCTCTCTCACTGGCCACTCTGCCTGTCAAAAAAAAAAAAAAATTATAAAAAGAAGCATACACAAGGCACAGGTTTAGCAGAGAGAAGGTGGCTGGCTGGGTCTAGGGATGCAAGTCTCAGGGAAGACCTGCGTGGCAAGCGGAGGCCAAGTAACACCGCTGAGCTGTGTGATGATGGGAGCATTCGTCTCAGTAGCCTTGCCGCCTACCACAGTGCCCAGCACACGGTGGTGGTCAAGGTGGAGCCACAGAATTTGCCTGAATGAACAGGAACCGGGCTCAAGGGGCCCAGCATGTAGCAGTCCATTTTCTGTGTACTCAAAGTCGTCTCTTTGCAAGGTTTTGCAACCTGGGCCTCTGCCAGTGTGCGCCTGCGCAGAGGAGTGGGACGCCCACTGTTTTCTCGCGTGGGAGGATTGTGAAATGGCCGTGGTGTGTGCAGCACCACTTATTTTACGTAGAGATCCTCTTAATCTGCTTCTGTGGTATAAGAGAATTGCTAAAAATCAAAGTAACAGGACGTTGCAGACTTTCGGAAAAAACGTCGTCTTCTTTATGAAAACATGTATTTTGCAAACATTAACATTGACTTTAAATAATTATTACAGACAGAGTTAAAATCAGAAGCATGAATGTCTTTGGCATGGGGCCAGTTTATGTCTAACACGTTATTACACAATAAGGTGGTGTCGGATTCTGTTTGTCTTTTTGAAGCCATCAAATCCGCTATACTTCCATTAAAGTGAATAGAGTTTGTGTTTAGAAAATGAATTCCAATGTTATACTTACTGACTCCATATTAATAAAATGCTTGCCTGTAACCCTCAGAAAGGACAGTATCAGTGACAAATTGTCTGGCATCTTTGTAGATTCAGAATTGGAACCAAACTGATTATGATAACGACACATTATAGAATCTCACCTCATCTTTCCTTTTTTTAAGCATTACATAAAAAAGAACAGTATTTAATTGAAAGGCCATAAAAATTCACATCATCACCATAAATATAAACTCCAGTTTACAGATGACTACAATGAGGAAATCTGTTAGTTAATTATGTAGCAACCTGGATTTGGTTCTCAAAAAAATTTCTAAGCTTATGTTCCTTAACACCATATGTTCCAGGGAACAGGAAAGACATCTGAATTCAAATATTTTGAAGAAATGTGTATTTAGCAACTGAATACATGCTAAAGGGAATAATTTACAGCAGCAGTTTCGTTACAGATTTTGCTCCAGTTTTCTAGTTCCCATCTGAAAGGCAAGGATAAATACAGATACGGAACATGTTTACCACCTGGCAAAAAACATGCTTACTGAGTGGACACACACCTTCTGCCCTTCAGCAGTACAAAGCCACCTTGTCACCTGTGTGGGAAAATCTTGCAACTTAGGATGATGTCGAACACATCGCAATGGAGTACTCATAGAAAGTTGTATTTTACACCATTCCACCTTTGCAAAAATTATTTACATCCCCTTTGCCTAATGTGTAGGTAGCAAAGATATTAAACACATACCATTGAAAATCACTAAATAATACATTAAAAAGAAGCATCGAGTGTGCATTTACATGCATTTACACTACGTTTGGTTTCCGCTGGGCCATCTTTTCTCGCTATGATGCGTCTTTTTCATACCTTAAGATTGCTGTCATGGATTGTGTATGGTCATACAAAGCTCTCAACCAAGTCTCATCTCGGATAATACATGCATATGCCAAAGTCTATTAAAATGAATTACTGAGTGGGACGTTAACTGTTTTCGTGCAAACTGCCCTGTCTTGATACATATTGGCGGAAGATTACGACTGAAATGAGTTACTTATCTGCAAGTCATATATCTGCAATTTTCTTCGAACCGTTAGACTCCATGGTTTATAGAGACATGCCAGCAGATTTGTTTTGTTTCTTTTAATTGGAGTCTAGATTTTTTTTGTTGGTTTTTCATAATGCTAAGCAAAATGCATTCAGATTTTGGATGGCATCCATGAAGTTATCATATAATCGCTATCCCTTCAAATTCTTTACTTTTGAGGATTATTATGAAATGAGATACTTCTGTTACAGCAAATAAATTTGTTTCAGCTGCAAATTTAGAATGAATGGCAACACTGAATTTTAGTACAGTTAAGATATTCTATGAACACGAAAGAATGACCTTTGGGGCACTCTTCATTTTTTGATTTAGATTTCAAACACTATTTTTTGTACAGGAGTGTGTCCTTCAAATATTTTAACAATTCAACTTCTATCTGAGGATGAACATCTAAAAGCAACACCATTATACTCAATGGAGACTAAAATTAAATGTGAATATTGCTAGGCTTTCATTTGAAACAAGCGTCAACAAGTTGTTTATTCAAAGTAACAATTAAAACTGAAAGGTGAGCTTCCATCTGGGATGTAGTTCAGCTGATAGGGAATAAAATTTCACTAGTCTGAGGTGAGAAATTAATGCTACGTTAATTTGAATTCTAAGACAGCTGGAGTTAGAATTGCACCATGACTTCATTAGTTAGCAACACGATGTTTTCTGTTCATTTTTGGGCATGATGAAGGATCTAAGAAGGGATTCCTAGAAAGGTGACTGCAGTGCAGAAAAACCAGACGGGAATGCTGCAGGCTCAGGTGGCTTGGGGTGAATGAGCCCCAACAAACTGAGGACAATGAAGGGGCGACTTCTGACCTCAAAAGCTTTCGCCAGGCAGGTGCCTGGTCTTGCGGTGAAGCCGCCGGCTAGAATGCCTCATCCCCGGCAGAGTGCCTGGCTTTGATACTTGGCTCTGATTCTTGACTCCAGCTTCCTCTTAACGCACACCCTGGGAGGCAACAGTGGCAGTGGCTCAAGTAATAGGTCCCTGCCTCCCACAGGGGGACCTGGACTGAGTTCCTGGCCCCTGGGTTTGGTCCTGGCTGGATCACTGTGGGCATCTGGGGACTGAAATAGCAGATGGGAATTCTCTCTCTCTCTTGCTCTCTCTCTCTCTGTGAGTGCCTGAAAAAATTACATTGAAAAAATAAAAAAAAATCTTTTACCACATTCTGTCAATTGTATGAAACAAACAAACAAAAAAAACTTTACGCTGTTTAGGCGCGGGTTGTGTCCTGGAAAATAGTTTGCATAAAAATCACTCTGTGGACTTCCAAAGCATCATGTATTCCCCATGTAGATAATTATCTTAAAGTGAGGTGAGGTGAGGCAGATGATGCAGATGTAAACAGTGGAGATTCTGACTTTCGTTGTTCTAAATGTTACTGATCTCTCTCTGCGGAACCCGACACTGACATAGCTGCTACAGGAATCCTGAGAGAGCTTTTATGTCTCAACCATCATGCGGAGATTCAAGTACAGAAAGATATTTTCCCATTAATACTATGCTAACAGTATTAATAGAAAATTAATATTAACACTATATTAAGACAATGCTTAATATTTTGTGAGATACGCAGTTCCTTTTCATGGACCCACTAGACAGAAAACATGTACTTAACCAATCCTCTTGTTTCTTTCCTGTTTTGCTGCTTGAGTGCTCTGCTGTTCTGAGCACCTCATGCAGTTAAAATTAATTTAGATAATACTTAGAACAGCTTTCATTGGTTTGGTTTCCTCAGGAAAAAAAAATGAAGCATAATTTATATTCTGGTTTCAGGATTAAATGTTAATAATGTATATAGATATTTTAGGACAATATCAGGTATCCCTTTTACAGATCTGCGAATGTCAAAGGAAAAAAAGCAGCACACAACTGGAATCTTAAAACAAAACTATATAGCACAATAACTGTAAGACAAAAACCTACTCTAGCTTAGAAAACAGCTAACCTTTACTGCATATTTGTCATGGTACATTTAAATTATCGTTTTAATAAAATACATCTTTAGGTCAAAGCTGAAAGAACACATCAGTAGTCGATCAGTGTAGCCCATTCTTCCTCGGGTGGTGCGTGTCTGTGTTCGTACTTCCGCGGAGCGCGTCCTTCCTCCCATCTTTCTCCCTGTCCTGCTCCAGGACAAACACCAGTGCGGCAGGCAGAGCCACCCCGGCCCCCAGCCGCGTTCTGGAATCTTCGTCAGCGGAGCCGGGCCACGCGGTGCACGGCGGACACGCGCTCCCGAGCAAGGCTTGGCTGATGGCGCTGGCTCCGCCCGCGGGCGGCGTGGCCAAGGGCGCCTTCGTTTCTCGGGCAGGAAGAGAGCGACACCGGTACAGTCTGCGCCCCGGGACGCGCACGGGGCCCTGGGGTCGGGGGCCGTCGCGGCCGCACACACCCGCAGTTCCGTCCCGGGGCCCGCGCGGCTCAGACGCTGCGGGGCGCCCGCTCGAACTCGTGGGTCCTCCGGTTCCTGCCCTTCTTGCTCTCCTGCAGGTGCTTCCACTTGGTGCCGCCGCCCTGCGCGTGCCCCGGCCGCGGCCGGCGCTGCTTGCGGTCCCTTTTCCACACCTGCTCGCAGAACTCGTCCATGGTGTTGAGGTGCGGGTGGCTGAGGAGCTGCATGAAGTCCCGGTACCACACCTTCTGGCTGGGCGTCAGGCCGGGGGCCGCCTCGCGCGCCGCGGCGCCGGCGCCGTCCCGGGGCAGCAGCGCGTCCAGGTGCTCGGCGTCGATGACCTCCAGGCGCACGCGGAGCAGCGTCTGCATGAAGCCGTGCTCCACGGCCTGGCACAGGTAGCGGCCCGCGTCCCGCCGCTGCAGGCTGCGCAGCAGGAGCCCCTGCTCCGTGCGGATGAGGTGCTCGTCCACCCGGACCTGCGGAGGAGAGCGGGCGTGAGGCGCGGGCGTGAGGCGCGGGCGTGAGGCGCGGGCGTGCGTGAGACAAGGGCGCGGGCCGGAGCCCCAGCGGGGGACCAGCCACCGCCGAGGCAGCTCTGGCCCAGCAGCGATGGCAGGTCCACCTCGGAACAGCTACAGTGGCGCACAGAGGGGAGAGAGAGAGAGGAGAGACAGAGTGTGTGAGTGTGTGTGTGTGTGAGAGTGTGTGAGCATGAGAGAGTGTGCGTGTGTGTGAGAGAGTGTGAGTGTTAGAGTGTGTGTGTGAGAGAGAGTGTGAGTGTGAGAGTGTGTGTGAGTGTGAGAGAGTGTGTGTGTGTGAGAGTGTGTGTGAGTGTGAGAGAGTGTGTGTGTGTGAGAGACAGAGTGTGTGAGCGTGAGAGTGTGTGTGAGAGAGAGACAGAGGGACAGTGTGTGAGCGTGAGAGAGAGTGTGAGTGTGTGTGTGTGTGAGAGATAGGGAGAGAAGAGAGAAACTGTGTGAGAGTGTGAGTGTGAGAGAGTGTGAGTGTGTGTGTGTGAGAGAGAGACAGAGTGTGTGAGTGTGAGAGAGTGTGAGTGTGTGTGTGTGTGAGATAGGGAGAGAGAGAGGAGAGAAACTGTGTGTGTGAGAGAGTGAGTGTGAGAGTGTGTGTGAGAGAGTGAGTGTGTGTGAGTGTGAGAGAGTGTGTGTGTGAGTGAGAGAGATAGGGAGAGAGGAGAGAAACTGAGAGTGAGAGTGTGAGGAGTATGAGTGTGTGTGTGAGAGTGTGTGAGTGTGAGTGTGTGTGTGTGAGAGAGAGAGAGAGAGAGAAAGAGAGAGACAGAGACTGGGCCGGGCTGAAGCCAGGCGCCCGTAACTCCATCTGGGCCTCCCATGGGGGTGGCAGGGACCCAGGTACTTGATGGAAGCAGACGGGGCCTCAATCCCAGGCTCTCCCATGTGGGATGCGGGTATCTAGAGTGGGGCTTAACCCGATGCCCCACACACCCACTCCTATTGATTAAGATGCACTGGGAAACATTGGTTGTGCAATTATTTTTACAGAATTTCTTATAATAGTTTAAGATAATGCCAGAAAAGAACCAAGATAGACTTTATAAATTTTAAATAAATATGGGAGATAAAAACATTAATATTGGTTAACATTATTAACATTAGTTAAAAATAAAATTGGAACTAAGAACCATGATAGTAGAAAACAGTGGGGGCATTAAAATGAATTTAGATTAAAATTTGAACAGATGACATTTTCAAAAAGCAGCAGTTGAGCAAGCAGAAGAAACTGTCTTAGATACGACATTAATATGAGGCTACATTTCTAACTTGATTTTCATGCTGAACACAGTTTCCGATTGAGATCTCAAAGCCTAACCTGATAATGTCCCAAATTCATCTTCATATCTGTAGGATGCCATTGTGTAAAGACTGCTTAGAATGTCAAAAAAGATAATGGGAGCATTTTTATCTTTATGTTCATATTATGCCTGTACATTTCTCTGCCATAAGGCGTTTTACAGATTCCATAGTCTGGTTATGCTCCGGTGCCCGTTTATGGCACTTAGAGTGGTGGTGCTCATCCTGGCTTCCCACATCGGAGTGCCTGGGTTCAGGTCCCTGCTCTGTGGCTTATTCCAGCCTCCTGCTGATACAGCCTGGGAGGCAGCAGATAATGGCTCAGGTGGTTGGGTGGTGCAGCCCTGGGGGGAGACTCGGATGGGGTTCCCAGCTCCTGACTTCAGCCTGGTCCAGCCTCACTGTTGTGGAATGTGGGAAGTGAACCCGTGGATGGGCGCTCTGTCACCATCTGTCTTTCTAATAATGAATAAATAAATACAAACTTAAAAAAGCTTTAAAGATGTATAGAGCGCTCACTGGGATTTTTGCATATATATATATTTTTTTAATTTACAGAGGAAGAAATAGCTCCATTGAGGAGGAAAATCGGCCTGATGCTTCATCAGTAGTTTATTCAGACTGATTCTGCAGATCCTGGGTCCTAAATCTACCACTCCCTTCTCCCCGTCTCTCCTTCTCATTGGAGGAGTAACTAGCAGAGAAAGGTAAACAGGTTTGCAGAAAAGAATGAACACAGTTACTAGGATGATTTGATTTTTTGTGTGTGCACAAATATAGCTAACAGAACTATGTTGTAGTGACACAGTAAGAAATAAGGAGACCCTAAAATAGGCTCCTAAACTGCTCTGGGACAGACTCGTACCACATCACACACACACACACACACACACACACACACACACCCCGCCCCTCCTGGCACGCACCCAGGAATGCCGTCAGCCTGGGGGAACACTTGTTTAATGGATGAGCTATTGATCCGTTAAGGAAAGGCTAAGGGTTCTCAGTGTTTTTCTTCCCCTCAGCTCTGCAGAGCTGGGACTGCCCAGCAGCATGCGTTGGACAGAAATGACCCGTCCGTTTCACGCCTGTACCTCTTCCTTTCGCTCTTCATTCCGCCGCTGGAACTGCCAGTACACCAGGGCCCTCTGTGACTTGGGACTGCATTCCAGGAACGTGCTACTGTTCTCCACCCCGTAGATGATTCTCTCTTCAAGGCTGTGGCCATGGTGATTATCTGGCCAGGGGTGAGGAAATGAAATGAGAACGTATTAGAGAGGCAATGTCAACTTTCCAAAGCACTTGCCTGGAAATTCAGTTGGAAGCTGTTTTCCAATCGAGTGAGGATGGCAGGAAAGGCGAGGGCCCAAGGTTTCGGAACCCAGTGCCTCCCTAAATGGACTCGTGACTTTGGTGTGAGTATTTACATCATATACAGGGTTGCCCAGCAGAAAACAGGATTATGTTAACAAAGTCAGTCATGTGTGCAGTATCACTATAAATCTTTATACGCCATGATAATGCTCCACGAGAAATTATTTTCCCTACAAAGCTCTATGCTCTGGCAAATTGAGCCACTTTGTATTATATTATTCTCTAGGAGAAAAGTTATTAGACTAGGCTTTTGTAACTAAGGATCTCTTTCTGAGAAATTATTTTGCCTCATTGTGTCTGTTTTTCATCTGTAGAATTAAATTCACCCCCAATAATATTTATCTAGCATTTCACAGAAGGTAGATTTCAGGAAGTTTATACTCTCACCAGTAACCCCTAAATAATCCACAGGTTGGTTCTGAAGACCAGTTGGTGTGAAATGTTTGGGACAGCTCCGAAGAAAGATGTGTAATTATAATGCAATGTGGTTTCCATTGTCCTTATTTTAAAATAACACATCTTATATTATTTTCAAAAATTAGGCTCTGGAATATGGCAAGATACAGCCACTCAAAAACCTGTTTCCTGATTAAGTTTCTATTATTTTACCCTTGATGTAACCTTCTTCAACATGGTCACTGAAACACAGCTCAGATCAAAAGGACACACAGGGAGTCCAGGTAAAACTCATGCAGAGAACAAAATTCCACATTATCTCTTATGATCCTGTTTCCATTATGACATCCTGTACAATCTGGATCTCATTAACTTAATTTAGAAAATAATAAATGCATTTTCACAAGCATAGAAAGCTGACAGCGAAAACAGATGAAAGAGTTTTGCTATTTCGGACTCAGCGAGGTTTTAATTAAAAAAAATGTCCCCTCCCTCCCTTTTGGTGTCTCTTTGACAGTTTTACTCTCTTCATAATCAACAGGATCCTTTTGTCTGTCAGAACCAATGTGGTTTTCTCTCACTAGGTTTAAAACTTTCCATCCTGTCCCAGTCCCTGTCCATGGCCCATGGCCCGCCCTCCCACTCTCCCCGCTGCAGGCCACCCCCTGCCTCTGTCTTCCATCTCCAGGGAAGTGAGGCTTGGCGCTCGCATCTCAGCTGCACCCTAGCTGCTTAAACAAAACTCTTCTATTGTGCTTCACCCTTCTTATTGAAAAGATCAATTCTCTGGGAATGGGAAAAATAAGACGTGACTGGCATGGGAAAAAACAATACTGTGTAACAGATTTCAAGTCATTTTTTTATGCTGGAGCTATATATCTTTGTGTGTTGGTATCTATAATGGCCATAGAAGATTTTTTCCTTCTGAAATTATTAGTGCATATTGAATTGAAAAATATGGCACACGCACTAGCTCGCAAGACATCTGCTTCCCTGGATAGAGGTGAGTTGAACCGCTGTGTCCAACAGGGGCAGACATATCTGTGGTTCAGGAACTACTATGAGTAATTGAATACCTGATCCCGGAAGTCAATGGAATTTACATTAAATGCATTTATTCCTCTGCTAATTGTTCTGCAGCTTGAACTTTTTGATTAAGAAACCCTTTTACTTTTAGGAAGACCCCTCATGACACACCTGACAGTGTGATAACGTTAGATAAGCCTACTGGATTTACAAACAACCCAGTGATCTCCCAGCATCTTCCTTTTCCATTGGCTGCACCTCCCAAGCCCACCTCTCTCAGGCAGAAATTTTTTTAAAGATTTATTTATTTATCAACTTGAAAGATGGAGCCACAGAGAGGAAGAGGCAGAGGCAGAGAGAGAGAAGGCTCCCATCCGATGGCCCCTTCTCCAAGTGGCCCCAGTGGCTAGGGCTGCGCCTTGGCAGGAGCCAGGAGCCAGGATCTCTGTCCGGGTTTCCCACTTGGGTGCAGGAACCCTACCATCTAGGCCATCCTCTTCTGCTCTCCCTGGCACACCAGCAGGGAGCCAGATTGGCAGTGGAGCAGCTGGGACTTGAGTGGCACCCATATGGGATTCCGGCACCACAGGCAGTGGCTTAGCTCACTATGCCTCAGAGCTGGTCCCTAGAACTTTCTTACAGTAACCAACTTGTTTCTTTTCTAGGCTGCTTTTCTAAGTTACTACCACAATCTGTGGACATCTCAGGCAGAGGAAGTTATTGCTCTCAAACACAGAACTTAAATAAAGTCTTAAATAAAGTCCTTCAATGCCGTAGCTACCACATAGCTAAGAAGACCAACGTGACTTGTATAATAGCAAACAGGAATGTTCAATGTTAATATAACATTATTTTTTTTTAAAAATCACTGCATTTCTATTAATTTAAACATTCTGGCTAATCCATGGAGATAGCATTTTATGATCTTTCTAGTAGTTCTGAGAAACTTGTTCACTTTTTGTTTCCTCTTCAAGTTCTCCTCTGGTGGTGGCAGACTTTTCCCAATGTGCTACAAATAAAACCATCCTGATGGCAAGTTTTTTTCTTATACTTAAAAACATTTCATTGTATGTGCTACTCTCTGTGGTAGAATCCAATACAACTGCATTAGCTTAACAAAGCTTTACACCCAGTGTGTTTGCTTTAGTCTGACTACAGCAGTACTTGGTCGCCGATGGTCTTCAAACACATGGTACTCAGGTGCTTTCTCTCCTGAGTAAGAGAGGAACCACACATGATGCCTTTGGCTCATTGGCTTGGTGCCATTAGTTAGTTTGCTGTGAAAACTACATTCGCCAATGTGTTAAGGTCTCATTCTCCATTATGTTGACCTTTTTTTTTCTATAAACAAAAAGAAACATCTTCAAGCTGGTAACAGTGAAGCCAGCAGTCCTGTCGTAATAACTATCAATTATGGCTGGTGGTACACAGAGGTACTATCGTGCTTCTTTGGTTGGAGATTCTCCTATTTTATGTTTTGTTAGATTCTGCTGCCATCAGCCATAACTATAAAAGTAAATTTACATGGGACATGGCAGTTTCTGTGCAGAACATCTCTGCCACTGGCAAATTTTAATTTAGGACCAAAACGTTAGTTGAAAGTGGTGTTGGCCAAGCATACAAATATTTGAGTGTTCAGATGAAATAACCACTAAACATTTTTCTGTTAATTTTGACATCTTTTAAGCAGTTATCTAATAGCTATTTAAAAAACAATGATGAGACAGTGTTTAATAAATAGCTATTTCTCTTCCTGATTCTTCTACCCTAGACACTTGGATAATTTTTTACAACAAAGAAAACATTAGTTCTCACTCCATTTCCTTTTCTGTTTTTCTTACTCTCCCTGTCTCTCTGAATCTCTTTCTCCATAAAATTTACCAATGGGAACAGTATTTTGACTCTTGTCCTCTTTAGCTTTATTGTATTCTTCTGTCTTTACTGAGATGTCACGTTTGGTTGTTTATAAAGCTAACAGCTCTGTATGAGTGCATAGTACAGCTGTACTCCAAGTATTTTTCATTTAATATTAAACTCACAGTTACCCAACATGAATAAAATGCTTAGCTGAGGAAATACTGTTGAATAAAGATTTCCTAAGGATATGAAATCTTACAGACGCAAGGTAAGTGTATTCTAACATCTTCCTCTGGATTAAACTGGTGGATCTGAGAGTAATTTACATGGAATGCATTGTTTTAATCACATCAGATAATGGACTGTAATGGGGTCCCACTGGTGTATATCGAGGGAACCCATAAGCAACGCTCTTGTTCTCCCCTGCATTTACGTCCTGATATTGTTGAGTAGAGCATCCTTTTCATGGCGGGATTTTTTCCAAGTTCACCACTGGAAAATTTTTCTTCTGTTCTTGGTTTTTAGGAATTACTGAGATTCTGTTGAATGACTGTCTATTTCTTTTTTGCTAGGAACTTTGTTATCTTCTGTATTTCATTCTACATTGGCTAACAAAAAACTATTAGACAAATTATATGTCTTTTTGCACCATCTCCTTGCCACATGCCTGACTTCAATCTCTGCCAGTATTCCTTCTTTGGCTGTGTGGCCCTGTGGTTATCTTTATCTTATCTTTGCTTTTTAAAAATCAACTAATTATAAATTCTCTTAAATATATTAGGTCAGTTAGCAATTACAGACTATGTAAATTTTGCCCTTTAAAATATATTTCTTGTCGTACTTAAAGTACAGCTGTGTAGAATGTTGGTACAATGTCTGGTAACAGTGATAGTCATTGCTGTTACTGCTGGTTCAGGGTCTAAATGTTAAATCAGAACTTAACATCTTTCATGGAGAATACAGAATAACACAAATGATGAAACCCTTCATGATCCTGCCTGCTCAAAGAAAATGTTTCCTTTCCTATACGTCTTGAAAGTCTCTTTTTACATATCTCTTTTGAACACATGTAGTCTAGCTTACTGTGATTATTGTTCAACAGTTTTTTTTTTTTTAAACCCCATCTAGAGTGTAAACCCCTGGCTGATGTTTGCTGAATGGCAAATCCAGGTAACTATGTTGAATTTAAAAGCTGAAATCTCATGTAATTTTGACATCTGTAAGATAGGGAGTTTTCATAATTCTGTTATGAAATGAATAAAAATGAATAAAAGTTTAGTCAACCAAGAAGGTCAGAGCAGTTGTCACCCTATTATGATCGAATATTGAACAGTGGATAGATACAGACATTTCAGCCCTTCTAAATTTGTTAAGCTTAATAATGTTCAAAAAGTTGATGTGAGAGATGGTAGGAGCAGATGACGCCTAATCAAGCATACTCCACAATCAAAAACTCCGAATTTGAAACAATCAGAAGAGAAAGCTATATGAGACCCCTGTGGATATTTTCCCACATTTCCACGGAAACCTTTACCATGGAAGGGTAGCCATGCCCATAAGTAATTTTATAGATGTTCAAGAAGA